TAACCAGACATTGAACAACCGGCCCTGGGTGATATAGGAAATGGTCCCTTATATGAAATCTCAGCCATTAAAATCGCTGCAGAAAACACATTCAGGGCCGGTTACTCAATGTCTGGTTAACACTAATCTCCGGTTAAACATAGTTATCGACGTTACCGACTCCCTGTTGTATGCATGAAGTCGAAGACGTCGATAACGATGTTTAACCGCAGATTAGTGTTAACCAGACATTGAGTAACCGGCCCTCAATCGCTAAAAAAATCACTACGAAGAGGTAGAAGACGGTGTAAACAAAATCGAAAAGCGTCAAAAACGCTACGAACACTTTTTTCTGAAAATCGATTACAAATACAACGATAGCTGATTAGATGATCTGTAGACGTTGGTTCATGCTTCCCCTCCGATACTTAAGGCTCTGTTATGCATACTTGGCATTGCATGCACTGCTATACCATTTTTACGTAGAAATCAAAAACCAACAGACTTTTACGTATGTAATGCTGTGCGTTGGGTAACCGCTTACACGCGAAGCTCATTTAACAGATTCCTCATGTGACAACTCTCAAGCAATGCCAAGTATGCATAACGGAGCCTTTACTCAAGCCCTGATACTTTCTGGCGATACTACCCAACAAGCATTTCAGTAAACGTTTTTAAAAATAAATTAAGTTTGCTATAATAAGCGTTAAATAAGCATTTTTAATATTAAGCTTATTAAACGTTTTTTTCAAATAAACCTTTAATAAGTTTTGAGAGCGAATGTTTATAAATAACTTCAACTTATAAATGAAATGTAAATGTCAACGACATGAAGTAGTAAATATAAAATTTTTTCAATCGTAAGTGACGTGTTTACGTTTTTTAAAATATATTATTAAAAGAAAAAATTAAATAAAACCAATGCGGTAAAACAAGAAAATCCAATCCAGGACCCGCTGCGCTAATCGGTGGAGCATTCGAGTCTTCAAATGATGAGTTCCCCTTATCCTTTCTTAGTTTAACATTCAATTAAAAATGTATTAAATTTTTTTCAGAAAACTTCATCAATGAGAATGGCGGCGATGAAGCGGAATATATAGCTGCATCGATGTCGCTTTGCCAATTTGCCAATAGCCGCAAGTAATTGAAAGCACGCAACAAGATGTAATAAATAACTTTTTTATGCTTAATTTGTACGTGTTATTGTGAATTTGTATGCTAAAATGTCTATTCCCTATTTATATTTTCGCGACTGTAGATGAGTCCGCCGAAAATTCGCATTTCGTTTAGTTTCTAGATGTTAAGCAATCTATGTATGAGTTTTTAATGAAATATCTTTAAATTAAGGGTTATAAAAATGTTTATAAAAAGCTTTCTTTTGAAAATTTTTAGTAAGTTTATATTGATACGCTTATAAAAAAACTTTTTTTGAACCTTTATTATAAGTTTACACTTTTACGCTTATAAAATGCGTTCTTTTGAACATTTATTAAAAGTTTATATTTCTACGCTTATAACCAATGTTCCTTTTCGATTATACTACGCTTACTTTCAAGCGTTTTATAAACTAAAAATCAAAGTTGTGTAAGCTTAATGGTTATAATTGAAAACTTAAAAAAAACTTTCTTTAAGTTTATTTTGCTTGTTGGGTAGTAGGAAGTAAAAGTTTCGAAACTTTATTTTATTGCTTGATTCCTAAAGGCGCCCGTTACACGATCAATACGTATCTTGATATTGGGATTATGATCAATATTGACGGATCTAAAAATATTGATGGATGGTAAGTGTATGCTTACCGTTCAATATTTATCGCGTCAGTATTTGCATAATTTTTGTGCTGCACGCTTTTATGGCGCAAGAAAATATTTCGTACCAATAATGCATTCCATAATTCTTTTAAAATTTCTAATGTTAATGCTTTCAATTTGTTTTGGAAGGTTCTAAGCGCCGATCGCGAATATGTTTTCGATGTTCGCAATATGAGAGTACAAAATGAACTGACGAAATGTATGGATCGCGTTTTGAATAACGTACACCTTCAACATTTATTGCGCGATCCACGATCCGTGGTCCGGATTTTAAAATTTCTAGATATTTAGCGATCCGTATCGTATCACGAACCATCAATATTTGATGCTACACCTTCAATAAAAATCACGATCCAGGATCGCGATCCGTATTGATGGCGCCAAAAGGCTCAAACACGCATTGATTTATCGGCCAACAAGTTGACCAACCAACTTAAGGTGTTCTTACAGGTTACGTATTTACATCTGTAGATGTGACTTTTTCAATACTTATGTAATTGCGTATGTTCGTCAAATTCACAGTCTTTATTTAACTATTTAAATATGCGTTCTTTGAAAACGAAATAAACTAAACTCAGATGGTTCTATCTGTGTGTCAGATGAAAATAGAGACATTTCTAGTTCGTATGTAGGGGCATCAGAAACAAATCTTATATGCCTTTACACGATACGTTACGATTATGTTATTGCTACCGCCCCCGTTTTCACATATTATATGCATTTTCGCTAGCGAAACTAACCGAAAAACACATGTTAACGTTAATGCGCCTTTAAAAAAAATGAAATCGCATATTTCGTTGCCAACTTGTTTACACACAGAGCAACAAGTTGACCAATCAGCCTCAAAAATCAAAAATCATAAGGTTTTGATTCTTTTCCAACCTGACCAGCAACTTGACGAAGGTTTGCCAACTTGCCTACACACGGCTTATATACCACCAACTTCTAGCGGTTGGCCAACTGGTTGGCCGATAAATCAATGCTTGTAGGGCTTTAACCCACCTTCACAAACTTTTTTCTCAAACCCAGTTGTGGCCACGTCACTCAACTTTTAACGCACGTAAGTGCGTCACTGCTGACAGTTGTATAACCCCGCGTTTACACAAGACAAGTCCAAAGAAAATATGCACATAATTATATATGCACATATAATGGGCCGTATGAATAAAAACTAAGCATTTGCTTTTTCTTAAAATTTCATACCTTTTACTTCAATTTTGTTTGAGTAAATTGAGTAAAAGATCTGAAATTTTAAGAAAAAGCAATTGCTTATTTTTATTCATACGGCCCAATAATACACATTTATTGAGTAAAGTAGGCATCCAGACAATAAACTGTGAAAAAAACTGTGTAAAAAAAATGTTTTGCTATTGTATCCGAAAAATTGACTTGCGTAAACCCCATCTCTAATCCGGACTAGGAATGCAACAAGGTGTATTAAACAAGGTGGTGTTGGGGCGACAGCTGAGTTTTTCGCCGTGGAGGCCATTACGTCAAAATGATGTGTTTGTTGTAACTCATACCAATGACAGTATGGACATCAGCGTATAATTTGTTAGTGTAATTTTTTACTTATATACGGCCAACACCACCGTGTTAAATACGCCTTGGAATGCAACATCGCACTTAAAAACATAGGCGCGTATTCATAGTCCAGCAACTAAGTCGAAACTAACAAAGTTGCAACTTAAATTTAATTACCAACTTAAAATTTACCTCTCGACTTAGTTTACGATATAGCAAAACGAGTGTGAAAATGTACCGATTTTTCTTTACGATATTTTGGAAAAATTACATTTTTATTAAATAATATCAAGTTTGATCATCCGTTTATGTAATTTTTATTTTCTTTGCATGATTATGCAAAAGAATAAGATATCATTTTCTTGTTAATTGTGTGAAATAGCCAGAACAACCGCAGTGATGTGAAGTCGATGTTTATCGAAAGCATGCTGTGAAACATACAAATAGTAGATATCTAAATGTTATGCACAAATTTACTTTAACAGAACTAGCGTGAAACTGGCTTATTATTTGAAAATTTATCTAAATTATTCCAATTATAAAATTGTGATGTAGCTTTATTCGAATTGTAATACGCATTTAATTTCATCTTCCGATTAAAATGGATCGATCTTTGTAAATTTTAATTGGAGATTATTCAATATTATCAAAATCACCCTCTACCAGCTTAATTTTTACATATTTCGTCTGTTTTTCCTTAGTTTGATAAAATACTTCTTCCTGCAGCTGCAGCAGAAACTACATTTTAAGTTGGTACTTAGCCAGAAAAGTCGAAACTAAGGCGACTATGAATAGCTTTAGTTGTGACTTAGGGCCGGTTACTCAATGTCTGGTTAACACTAATCTGCGGTTAAACATTGTTATCGAAGTTTTCGACTCCATGCATACAACAGGGAGTCGGTAACGTCGATAACTATGTTTAACCGGAGATTAGTGTTAACCAGACATTGAGTAACCGGCCCTTAGAATAGTTTCGACTTAGTTGAGTACTAAATATGACTATGAATATGCGCCATAGATGTTTGAAAACATCTATGTTCCCGCAAAAAACATCGATGCCAAAAACATCGGTTATAAAAACGATACATCGATGTTTTACCGATGGTTTAATATCTCATCTACTACACGAAATAAAATGTAGCCTGAAATATTTTTTAAACTCGAAAGAACTAGATTCACATATCCGCTGCAAACCATAACTTTATACAAAACTTTGAAAAATTCAACACATTTTTTATCTTAATTTTGAACTTTTTTATCTGAATTTTTAGAAAAAGCCGTTAAAAAATCGCCTTGATTTTTAACCTTAAAAAAAAACGCAAAAGCCGCCAAAAAAAACATTAAAAATCAAAGCGATTTTCAGCCGCTTAAAACTTGCACCTGTTTTAATATTATGATGTATCTTAAATATGTAAATCTTATTTATTTAAATATGAATAAACATTTTGAATTAGTTCAGAAAACAAGCTTTTATAATGTAGCCCCCAAAAGCCCGCCTCTTTCCTGAATGATGGTTGCACTAGTTTTCGAAAACAAGCGCTCGCTTGCCAGTGGTCGTTCGGCACAATACGAACGGAGTGAAAGAACGATGTCGATGTTTTTCACTTTCCGAGTCGATGTATCGACGATGTATCTATCGTCCAGCAAAACATCGATATTAACGTGGATTTTTTTGGACGAAACATCGATGTTTTGAACTCATCGATGCATCGTTTGCATCCCTAATCCGGTCATTAAACCCCAAATTTAACAAACAGTTTTGATTTGAAATGCGTGAAACAAAATAGCATTTTACCTTTGTTAAAGGAAGTTACAGCAGGGGATCATTTGGGAATTGTCATTGCTTTGATCATCATATAATATTGGAAGATTTGCAGAAACATGCCTGTGGATATTAATCGATTAACTGATGGTTGGCTGGAACTTGAGTCCGACCCTGGATTGTTTACTTTGCTCTTAGAGGATTTTGGTGTGAAAAATGTTCAAGTGGAAGAAGTGTATGACCTTCAGAAACCAATAGATGGTCCAGTGTACGGTTTTATTTTTCTTTTTCGTTGGATGGAGGAAAGAAGAGCAAGAAGGAAAATAGTAGAGGCTACTGCTGAAATATTTGTAAAGGACGAAGAAGAAGTTTCTAGTATATTTTTCGCTCAGCAAGTCGTTCCAAACAGTTGTGCTACACACGCTTTATTATCTGTGCTTCTTAATAGTAACGACGCGGACTTGCAACTTGGATCTACACTAAGTCGTTTGAAGGCTCATACGAAAGGTATGTGTCCTGAAAATAAGGGATGGGCAATTGGAAATACACCAGAGCTGGCCTGCGCCCATAACTCGCATGCTATGCCACAAGCAAAACGTAGATTAGACAGAGGCGCTGCATCAGGCGTTTCGACTGGACGTTTTACCGGAGAAGCATTTCATTTTGTTAGCTACGTTCCTATAAGCGGTCATTTATTTGAATTGGATGGATTGAAACCATATCCAATTGACCACGGCCCATGGGAGGAGAATGAGGATTGGACTGAGAAATTTCGGCGAGTAATGGCAGAGCGTTTGGGAATCGCTACGGGTGAACAAGATATTCGCTTTAATTTAATGGCTGTGGTACCCGATAGGCGAATAGCCATAACGCACAAACTAAAAATGTTGCGAACAAATCAAGCTATTGTATCTGGAACCCTTCAAAAGCTTTTAAAGTCAAGCGGTCCAGATTGTGTAAAATCTACGAAACTAGATATTGAATCTTCTGATAATGGATCATACCAAATCGGTTCTCCCCCCTCGCCCGTTTTGGAGACGAATGCATTTACGATTCGCGATTTACAATCGTTACTCAAGAACCTGGACACAGAAATTGCCATATGCGAACAACAGCTAAATGATGAAAACGACAAGAGGTATATGTTCAAAGTAAGTTGCATTTGCCAAAGAATAAAATTTATAGGTATTTTAAAATACGTTAAAACGGGTGTTGGTGGAGTTAGAGGGCGATTTCCTAAACATGAAGTTGCTCTAAAAAGCTATCTGCAGCTTCATAGAAATCACAAGCAGTATTTTTTATAATTTTTGTTGGGCGAGATTTCGATAACCGGGGCGACAAATTTTGAACCCGAAGGGGTAATTATCTAGGTGGGCTTTCAACACCCAAAATCTGACAATATTTTGAAAAGGGGGTACCATTATACGCACCTGGACCCCAATAACAAGAATCCGAAAGCGGAAATTAACTTTTCACCCGATCAAAAATTATTAACAAAAAACTTTTCCACAATAGCACTTTTTTTATTCACTAACTACACTCACACAAATACGTGTGTCAAGTTAGCACTACACTTTTCGAATTTGGAAAAGTTAACTACGGCATTAATTGTAGTGTTTTTGTTGTAAATTTGTTGTGGAAAGAAAAAATTTGTAGCTCTCGTTTTTTAAGAAAAAATGGTATGTAGTGCTAACTTGACACCATACACCTAGTCGATAGAATT